ATATATATATATATATATATAAATCTAATCTATAATTATGCATGTAAAATTAAAAGACACAAACAAATATTAATACAACTCAAATACTAGCTCTCAAATCAGAGTAAACAATACTCAACTGTATCATCTTTGTCTTGTTTAAAGAAATATTCTTACCTGAAATAGTAAAGTATCCTGAAAGTTGTGTGGTTTTCTGGAGGTTTTTGGTTGAAGTCAAAGTCTTGACAACTGCTCCTCTGCGCCTCTAAGCGAGCTCTGCTCAGCTGAGCCCCCCGGACTGTATCATACCTCTGAATTTGTGCGTCTGTGTGTGTATGTGTGTGCAGAGGAAACAGATTTGAAGAACCTACATGAGGGGGGTCTTAAAGCCCACAGGAGTATCTTAGTGATTGCACAACAGGGAAATTACTGCTCCGTCACTACCAAGGGGCTGGATTGTACTTGGACATAAGCCAGCGATGCAGGGACAAAAAGGCAGAAAGTTTCTTTGTTTTAAATTATCTCCCTCGTTTTCCCCTCTCTCCCTTCGAGAACCTCTACTTGAAGAGGCGTTCATTTGTTGCGAAAATGAAGTCAAGATGTGTATGAAGCAACAGCTGCATCTCCAGTGGATACAGATGCAAATGGAACTATTTATTGGGCTATTATGGCGTCAAGCTAAAGGCATCACATTACCTGCACCTTCCATCGGGCCTCTGACCCAACAGGCTTTGCATTAGTTAACCGAGCCTCGCATTCTGTGTCCTATGTGCTGGGGCAGTGGTCAAATAAGCCATGGGAAATATTTAGGTTGTCTCAGAGGAAGTCACGCCAGCCAGTGGGGCAGAGGGAGGTGGGAGGGAGACGCAGCGTGGAAGACGAATGAGGAGGAGGACGAGCTAAAACTGCAGGGAGCGAAGATGAGAGGGCAAGAAGAAGCGGATAGCAGAGATTCCCTCCAGTGGGTTTTCATTAAAGCCACTGGTGAGAGTTGATGAGGGATGCGTGCAAAGCTCCGAGACTGATTGCATCACAGCTCCTTTGATCAACAGCGTAAGCACGAGTTCCACCCTGCGTTGGCCTGTGCATGTGTGCACCTACGCTTCAGTTCTTGGATGTACTTAATCTTCGCCCGACACGCATCCACTGAAGCTACGAGCTTGAATGTGTTTACATGTGCGGGCAACACGGTACATTGAGCATCAGTCTGCACGTGACTGTCACTAACAGTTGTAGGAAGGCTGACAGTGAGGGCAAAGGAGGAAGGCGAGATAGAAAGCTGCAACATTTTGAAGGTCGATAATGAAAAGCTCCCAGGTGTTTCAGTCCTACAGCGTATGGAGAATCAGGAGCGTGTTTTATGTTGCAGAGCCACTAAAAACTAATTGTTACGCTTTCAAAACCAAATCCCCTGTAAAACACGTTCTTTCACTGGCATGCTGGGTATGCACAGTTGTTTTCACACACTTTGTGTCCTCTCGAACTCTTGTGAAACATTAGGCTATGTAAAACATCTTTTCTCCCTTAACCTGACCTCCCTGAATTACTGAACGTGGACATAAAAACCTTCAGTAAATAAACTGTTTCATACAGCTTATGACCTTTGGAGAGCATTTAAAATTCCCATCAGTCTCTGTAGAGATAGACACAAATGCAAACATAAACAATCAGACAGGCAGGAGCCAAAGGCCACTGGTCATGACATGCAGCAACTAAAAACAGAAACTGATGATGTCATGCTGGCCAACAGAAACACAGATAACAGAGAAAAAATGTCAAGTTTGTGCGATACTTTCACTGTAACGCAGAGAGCTGGACTCAAGAACTACAACAATCCGTAACCGTCTGCGTCACTTCTGGACATCAAGTCTCTTTAAACGAAAATAAGATTTATTACCTTTCAGCTCACTTTATTCCATGAGTCACATTTAAAACATGATGCTTGTCGCGATCATGTAACAATCTGTGTGGCCGTTGGACTGTCATGTTGGTAAATTTTGTGGACCTTGATCAATTGATGTAAATAAAACCTCCCAGAAACTAATGATTGGATGTACAATTCATACAAACATAATGGTACTTCCTCCAGTTATTTAACAGTCAACCATGGTGTACCACAAGGCTCAGTCTTAGGACGCACCCTCTTCACAATCTATATAGGTAATGTAGGTCAGAGCATCCCTGATGCATCCTTACATTTCTATGCTGATGACACAGTTGTTTATTGTTGAGCTAAAACAGTTGATAAGGTTTTCCAGCTTTTGCAATCAGCCTTTGACATCATCCAGTCAGATTTGTTCTGTCTCAAACTTGTCCTAAACACAAACAAAACCAAAGGGATGCTTTTTTTCAAACAGGAAGTTGGTCCCAGCAGTTCTTCTTTTGATTTTATCCTCTAACGGTGCTCCTATTGAGTTTGTCGATTCCTACAAATATTTGGGTATCTTGGTCGACTTGCATCTCTCTTTTAAGATTCACGTGGAAAACTAGTAAGGAAACTGAAAGTTAAACTGGGTTTCTTTTTCAGAAATAGATCTTGTTTAACTCTGAATGCTAGGAAACACCTTGTATCTGTGACTTTCCTTCCCTCAATTGACTATGGCAGCATTATTTACATGAACGCTACAAGCACTCTGCAGATGTCGGACACTGTCTATCATGGTGCACTAAGATTCATAACTGGCTGTAACTACCATACCCACCACTGCACCCTGAATTCACTGGTTAACTGGGCATCATTAACTTCACACAGACTCTCTCACTGGTACATTTTTATTTTTAATCACTTCTTGGTCTGCTGCATTCATACATCTCCTCCTACATGTCTCTGTGTGAGTGCAGCTACAGCGTGTGCACTTTGGACATTATTACCTGCAGTGTTCCCTCAGTGAGGACTGAACTAGACAAAACGGCCTTCTACTACTCTCCTCCTGTTTCCTGAAATATCTTGCAATAAGACCTGAAGCTCTCGACATTCTTCTTCTTCTTCTTCTTTCGGCTTTTCCCTCTTCAGGGGTTGCCACAGCGAGTCATTCTCCTCCACCTCACTCTGTCCTCTGCATCCTCTGTCCTCACTCCAGCTACCTTCATGTCCTCTCTAACTGCATCCATATATCTCCTCTTTGTCTTTTTCCTGGCAGCTGCATTTATAACATCCTTCTACCAATATACCCACTGTCCCACCTCTTGACATGTCCAAACCATCTCAGTCTGGTCTCTCTAACTTTATCTCCCAGTTGTTCAACCTGTGCTGTACCTCTGAGGATCTCATTCCTAATCTTATCCAGCCTTGTCACTCCTAAGGAGAACCTCAACATCTTCATTTCTGCTACTTCCAGTTCTCTAAATGTCTTCAAACAGCTGCTAAGTTCCTGGCAGAAACCAATGCAGACATGTTTCTGTTCTTAGTTTTCTACACCGCCATACAACCTAGCTGGGTTTTTTTTTTTTTTTGTTAAACTTTCTTTTAAATGCCATTTTATTTTCATTTGGTAAAAAAAAAAAAAAAAACTTGTATGCATCTTTTATGATTGTCTTTTGTGTTGTCTTTGTTGTCCACTGTTGTCATCACTTTTTGTTAAAATCAGGTCTCTCTTGTAAATGAGTCCCAGAGGCTCAATGGGATTAACCTGTATAAATAAAGGTTGAATGGGAAAAAAAAATGTGCAATTCACTTTTTGGAGTCTGTCAGGAGGATTTGCTCCAAGATGGCCACCACAACTAACCCACATTAGAAAGCGCAAAAATGGCTAAAACTGAAATTTTTTTAATAGAAACTGAGCTAACTGAGTCACCCATATTGCGCAAGAGCTTTGCTTAAACCTTTGGCATTAACAGGCAGAGTCAACGCTGTCTGTCTGTTAGCTAAATTTCATGAATGATTGCATAGATTTCAAGAAAACTTATAGATAGTTATCACTGGATGTGCATCTACAATTGATTAATTTGGAGTCAACCCAGTTTTAAATGATCTAAGCCAACACAAAGATGTTTATAACTCAGCTGACATGTTGAGGGAACGCTGTGGTGGAAGCTGAGTGACCTCCATCACATTCTCTGAGCACTGTCTTCAAATACTGAAAGATCTGTTTGTTTCAAACTGTGGCGATTAATATGGCAGGTCAAATACAGTCTTCAAGGAATGCTAGTGTAGTGAACCTGGTCTGACCTCGAATCTTGATCAGATGAACAGTGACCGTTATTTCATTGATCTTCATCCAGAAATACAGTTTGAGCCATCTGGTGACTTTCTTTCTTGAATTAATCAAGCAGAAAAGACAATTCTCTATAATCATCACTGTTTTACAAATGTTTGATAATCAAATTGTGTTAGTTCACTCAATGTTACAGGTTGAAAAGAACTACTCATTTTTATTTTACATAAACAGTAAGTAATGATTTTTATTCCTCATTCAAAGAAGAAATCAGGTTAATATGCATTTCTTGATTTTCTGTCTGAAATGAGCCAAGTTTTGTAAGTATGTTAAAGGTCGGTTTCGGTCAACTAAAATGTTTACCGAGGAAAAATGTCATGTTTAAACTTTTTCAGAAGATAATAAGAGGGAGACGCCACGAAGTCTGGTTTTTCTGCAATTATCTTTCTGTTAGTTGTTGAACAATCTCATTCTCTGACCTCGACTTATGACAACATCTTACATCACAAACCACACCTTTTCCTGGTCCATCGACCAATCAAAAGCTCTAAAATTGACCCGGAAGTCAACTCATTTAAAATGTGGCAACTTCCCGGTTCTGTTAGAGTCTGGGAGTGAAAGAGTTGCAAGAGTCCGAGGGTACAAGAGTCTCAGAGTGATGGAGGTTCTGAAGAAGTTCTAGAGTCTGAGAGTTCTGAAGGCTGAAGGGGAAAACTCTGATGTCTGATGGGGAAAACTCTGATGTCTGAAGCCCAGAGTGCTTCCGTTGGAATACAGAATGCAGTGGGTGTGACGGTGCAATGAGCTGTTGCTGAGAACTAGGAAGAAACTGTGCGTGAGTATTATGATAAAACTTTGGTAAGTCCGTATTTATTTAAATAAAAACTGTTTAATTAAATATAAGATCATTAAGAAAGTCCTAAATATTACTAATAAACTTTTTTCATTCGATCAAACAAACTGGACGAGGAGACTTTGGAGAGCCTGGAATTGTTTGTTGACGAGTGTTTCGACAGCTTAGTCATGGGTAAGCCTAAAGATACATCCGGTGCTGCTAGCAATTCAGCTAACATCCCCAATGCTAAGCGGCATCGACAGGGCAGCTCAGACAGCGTTACGGCACCGTCTCCTGACGATTCA